CGGTTGCTCAATTCCCTGAGCTACCCAGGCGCCCCAGGCTGGTTGCTTTTCTAAGAGCACAGTGTGTCTCCCACTGTTGTCAGAGAGAAACAGCTCAACTACCAAGTGACATGATGGTGACCAACTTTCCCTGCAGGTTTTCCATGCGTAGCCACTGTACACCAGGCGTTTTCTAGGCAACTTCTGCATTTTATTTCATGCAAAACATTATTCCCACACAGTGAGGTGTGAGCCAGGATCCTCATCATACACTAAGGACACAGAGGCACAGAGAGGTGAAGGTATGTGTTCGGGGTCACACAGTGGCTAAGTGGGGGATTGTGGACTTGAACCGAGGCCATCAGTCCCAGCCCCATTTGTAATCACTTTGCTGAGGAGGAGACCAATCCACTGATGCTGGGACCCCTGCCTTTAACTCATCTCTCCACCTTGGGTCAGGCTTCTAGAAAATCTAACAGTGCTAGGTGCCACCATCCCTCCTCACCGATGGGCAGCCTCAAGACTGGACATATTATGGGCTGAAAATGCCCTGATCATGAAGCCCTGGGTCTTTAAAAAAAAAAAAAAGTCAGTCCCCAACCTCACTAGTCTAGAAGCTTGAACCCTAGAAGGAAAATGTCCATTGACTAAGGGAGACCAACAGATAGTTGTGCTAATAACCAACTTTCACAGCCATCCTTGTGGCAGAGGAAACAGTCTGACCCCCTTCAGTGTAACAGCACTGAGGAGTTTCAGAAAGAATGTCACAAGGGCACAAGGTACTGCCCCCCAATTGAATGCGTTTAAACAGTCTTTTGTCTATTTAGAAGTAGATAGCCTCTGAATTATTAATCCAGCGAGGCAAATAATTATATCTCACTGTGCCTGGCAGGGACGTCATCTTGTCATGACAGCTGCTGCTCCAGGCTCCTCCGCTGTACAGAAAATTGAAGAATCCCCAAATTCAATTTCAACCTGGTTAAGCATGTTGGGCCAAATCATGAAACTGAAAGGGTGTGTGTTTAATTTAGTTTCTTTTCTCTGCACACTGTATTAGTAAGGGAGATCACAGTGCTCTAGGCTCTAACTACAAAATACATCATCATTATTAAAACAGAAAAAGAGGATGGGAGACACAGATCTTTAGGGGATGAGTAGGAAAGACAATGAAAGGTTTGAAAAACTCCGTGAGGCCCCAGCACACTGGAAAACTCCCCCAAAGTTTAGAAGTAACCTCTTTTCTCACTGCAGCCCTACCCAAGGATTGCTAAGCATGGTTTTATCAGATCTACAGACCCCTGGAAACACAGCACAACAATACATTTGTATTTAACATCTATCCGGAGGGAAAGCCTACATTATCCACCAGGTTTCCAAATCCCAAATCACACCGCATGAATCTATCATATGTAAATTACACTCTGCATTACCCACTTTGGTTTGGCCCCTTCCTGTGAACATGAGACCCCAAAGCCTCCCTCACTGGTCCAAGACTAGCGGCTCTGTCACCTGCTTGGCTCCCTTCTCCCCTGCACCCCAACCTTACCTGGCCATTTCCCTCTGTTAGAGACATTTTTCCACTTCTCATTTGCCAAATCATATCCCACTGGTCAGGCCAACACCTGGCTCAGAGAACCTTCTCTACAAAAGAACATCCTTGGGTTGCTAGAAATTGATGTTTCAATTGTCTCCAATCAACACAAGGAACAAGAATCTAAATCACTCTTCGTCCCTCCCTAATCCCCTGTGGATCTCTGCTAATTTATCCATAACACAGAATACATCCCCTTGGTGCCCTACAATTTCCACCACACGGACCCTGGCATCAGTGGATCCTCATAAACAAAGTCAATAATGGAACGAACACCATACAAACACAGAGGGTTACGGTAATCATTAGTCATTACAATTAAGTGAATTTTCTACATGTGAGTCACTGTCTTAAGGGTTTGTACATTTATTATTTCACTTAATCCTTGCAATCCATCCATTAATTCACTCGCTGAGCAAACATTGAAGATCTCCTGTGTGCCTGATACTGTTCTAGGTCCTAAGAGTACAGTCCTGAATTAAAATGCGCAAAAATTCTCCCTCCAAACCTTAGATGTTAGTGGGTGCAGGCAGAAAACAAATCAATCCATAAGTAAAATATTTAGCATGCCAGATGGTAGTACGTACTAAGGAGGAAAATGCAAGCTGAATGATGGAATGTGAAGTCCTGGGAAAGGCCTTCCTGACTAGGTGAACAGAGAGGGGAAGAAGAGAGGGGCTGGGCAGCCCTGCCAAAAGAAGGGGGAAGAGCCAAGCGTAAGGGCCATGGGAGGGAGAAGGGGGCCTGAGTCAGCTACAGCAAAGACAAAATGGTTGGGGCAAATGTAGCTTCTCTACCATCTCCAACTTGTATTCAGGGTAAGAGAAACGGGTTAAATGGTGACCACCGGAAAAAAATACATTCGACATCCTCATCCCCAGAGCCTGAAATGGACCTTGTGTGAAAGAAGGCTCTGTGCAGGTATAATTAAGGATCTCAAGATGAAATTATCCCAGATGATCCTGGAGGTCTAAATGTGATGGCAAGTGTCCCCAAAAGGGAAGGAGAGGAGCAGTCATGGGCGCAGAGGAGAGGGCTGTGGGAGTCCCAGAAGCCACAGGGACTGTCGGGCGGCCCCTGGGGTTGAAAGAGGGAAGGGTGTTCTCTGGAGCCTCCCAATGGAGTGCGGCCCTAAAGACCCCTTGATTTCAGACTTCTAGTTTCCAGACCTGGGAGAGAACACATTTCTGCTGCTTTGTGCCCCCCAGTCCAGGGTACTTTGCAACAGAGGCCCCAGGAAACCGATACAGAGAGGTTAAGTAAGGTTCCTGCAGTTACAGAGCTCTTGGAGTGGGCGAGGTGGGACCTGAATCCTGGCAAGGAGACGATCAGGGTGCCCTTGGGGCCACTCGGCAATCTGCAGTCTCTGCTGTATGCCAGGGAATATACTGGCTTGTCTGACCAAGGGCCACACTTCCTTACATAAGGGCCTCAAGGCCTTGGCTCCCTGGCTTCACCTGGCCCACCCCTAGAACTAGCCAAACACAGGCTGCCAGGTAGAGCTCTTGCCCACTGTACGGACAGGATTTTCTGGATTCTTTTTTTATTGCTTGCCCCCAGAAGCAAGCATGGGAGTCGGGCTTAAGGTATCAGCATAGCATCACTGTCATTGGACCTGAGGGGAAGGTTTCTGAGGCTCTAATTCACTGAGAGTCCCATGTGACTGGAAACAGGCGCGCTCTCATCTATTAGACAAACACCCGTTACTTATATCTCTGCCAATTTTCATTGAGCAGCAAAATTAGGTTTTGGACATCCTGTGCAAATGGAGGCAGGCCTGAGTCGATGTGAGCAATTAACCCCTAAATATTTAATAGATGCTCTGACTGCTCCCCTCCCTAGGAAACAGACTCTGGCTAGTCCTCTGCAAACAAACAGGTCAGACGAAGAAGCAGCAAGGCACAGAGATACTCATGCCCCAGCCCACTCTGGTTCCAAGACCGCAGGAAACTCTCAGGACAGGACTCTGGGATGGTGACACAGCCAGGTGAATGGCCTTCGGGGACAGTGTCCTCCCCAGGGTTTACCAACGATGAAGCAAACAGGATGGACATACACAGCCTTTGCAGAGTGTGAAGAGCCGACTCATGGCGACTGATGCCATTTGCTGTTGCCCTGTGTGACTGCTGGCAGTGAGGACGTGTGTGCGGGTGCGTGTGCGCCGTACAGAAGGGCGAGTGTGCCAATGCTTCCCACCCAGAGCAATGCCTCATGTCGTGGCTTTATTCAAGCTCTCTCTGATCGAACCCACACACGTCCTCCACCCTGTCCCGTGACCAGCATGCCATCGGAGCTGACTTAACCAGTAGGTGCAATGGGCATGCGGCTTAATATTAGTTTCAGGGGCAGACTTTGGTGGTTCATCAGTTGCATACAACACCCACTGCTCGTTACATCACGTACCCTCATTACTACTGCCCATCACCCAGCCATGCATCCCCCCACTCACCTCCCCTCCAGCAACCCTCAGTTGTTTCTGAGAGTTAAGAGTCTCTTACGGTTTGCCTCCCTCTCTGTCTTTATCTTATTTTATTTTTCCTCCCATTCCCCTATGTTCATCTGTTTTGTTTCTTAAATTCCGTATGATTGAAATCATATGGTATTTGTCTTTCTCTGACTGACATATTTCACTTAGCATAATATCCTCTAGTTCTATCCACATCATTGCAAATGGCAAGATTCTGATGAACTTTCAGGCTGAAAAAAGTTCTCATATACTATATTAGTACATTTATCTTTATACCAATGCTGTTGTAAAATATACATTTTCCCCTATATTAAAACATATGTATTACCAATATACATTTTAATATATATGAAATTAAATGTATAGTAAACATTCATTAAATACATAAAACTTGGTGAATATTTAGTAAATACTTATTAAATATGTACATTAAATTTACTCACACACACACACACACACACACACACATATATATATATATATTTTTCCCCCCCAAAGGAGCCCACAAGGGCCACCGTGTGGACCCGATCCCCACATGTGTCTATTCCCAGAAGCAAAGGTAAGAACCACCGCATCTCACAGATGCAAAGGACTAGAAACGGTCCTTGGGCCAAGACTCACACCCAAGGCAAGAATCCTCCCTCCAGCAGGTTCTCCTTGTTCTGGGCAGCCTCGTCTGAGCGCTCCAATCAGACATGCATTCATCAAGCAGAACAAGACACGGCAGGAATGCAAAAGCAACGGCGATGCCCAGCAGAAGGTGTGACAGGCCCCAAAAGCGATAAGCAGAGTGCTAGGGGAATTCGCCGGTGGGGCCATCCATTCCACCCCGGGCATTAAAGAGGCCTTCCAGGAGGAGGGCTGTTTTCTGTCTCTTCCAAAACATGCTTCCCAACCGTGTGGCTGGCATTCTTCAAGTGAGTGGGGCCAGAGTAGCTTGTTAAGAACCTGTAATCCACTTACCTCCACAGTGAGCTCTCAGTCACGCTTCCCAGATTGAAGTCATACAGCTTCGTCAGGATGAGGATCACCTGCGATGGGGATGGGGAGGAGGGCAGAGGAGAGGAACAAAAGGGGAGAAAAAAGGAAGCTTCCTTTAGTTTGTGTAACAATATACAGTGCATCTCAAACCACCCAGAGGAGGGCTTAGTGTTTATCCGTTGAGTGGAGGGGTATTATAGGATCAAGCGAGGAAAAACAATTAATTTAACGCATCCCTGTAACTGGTAGCATTTATTTTAATCCTGACGATGCTTTGCATTTGAAATAAAACACGCCAACAGGAATTAACTGGGTATCGACAGTTGTATCTCTGCATCTGTCCTCCTTCAAGGCAAGGACTGGCCGGCTGGCTCTGATCACTGCTAGGGCCCTCCGGGGATCTGAGGCTGGGCGCGCTTTTGACCTGAAGATGACTCTGACTTACAGACTTGGACCTAAAATGGTAAGAAGGAACTGGGCCTAATTCTACCCACCTACAGAGAGGTTCAAAGAGATTCTGTGTCTCTATCACTAAGGCCTCAACAGCCACAGAAACGTGAACGGCAGGCAGGCCCAGTCCCCAACATCCTCTGATGTCATCTGCCATCTACCATTAGTCATCTGTCCTCGTCATGGAGTAAACAGGTCGCTGGACTGCACTGGGCTCCAGGACCACTTTCCTGACTCAGCTGAAATGAAGAAACCCAGAAGGAAGCTGTACATGAAAGAGAGCGGGACTTTCTGTAATAGTCTTAGCAGTTTCCTGAAATGGTCTCAGTCTGGTCCCGTGCCTTAAAATTTCTCCAGCGGGGGACCCGGATACCAGACGTTTCCCTGCCTGCCCCTTATGTGCCTGGGCAGTGGCTCAGGCATGACTCAGAATCTACAAGGATTTCAAGCGCAGGCACCTGAATCGATTTTAATCAAAACACAGGTGCCTAATATACAGCGCCTGCCTGCACACGTGATAATCCAGTTACACATAATTGTGTTTATCTAAATTTAATGCACAACTCATTTCACTTTTCTCAGCTCCTTCCCATTCCACTATTTAACTTCCTCCAGTTCATTTGCACAGCAGCCATTAAACTCTTTCCAAGATAATGAATTTCTGCTACCAAGATGGAACTTTCCCATTCTAGGTATCTATTTAAGATTAAAGAAAAATAATCAGCCATTATATTGAACATTTTTATGGCATTTCACTGACAACAGAACACTCACTTTGAGATTTAGTCTCATCCAGCACCCCAGGGGGTTGGTCAGCACCATTTCCATTCCCTTTATGTAAGCTAAGAAGAAATTAGAGGCAAGGATGTGACCCATTATAGGTCAGAGAGAATCTGTGATGAAGTTGGTTTGGGATGTTCAACTTCTCTGCAGGGCCATGACTGGAGGACTCTTCTCAGAGTGCCCTCTTTGATGGAGAGTGATGGATGGGCAAGAAACAGCCAAGCCAAGAAAAACATCAATGACATGGCTATTTGTAGGACAGGAAAATCTACCAACTACCTGTCCTTTTAACACAGCATAACGGCAAGGACTGTGGACCCAGTTCAGAGACTTGCTCCCCACAGGCACTCAGTGATCCTTGCCTCTCCCACTCATAGGGAGCTTCTTCATTTATAAAATTCATGTGCTAATGAAAGCAAAGGACTTAAGCCCACCCTCCCCAACCACATGCCTAGGAATGCACTGATAATTCCTGTTTTCTGGATTAACACATATACCTACACACACAGCAGACTTCATCTCCCCTTCATTTTACCTTCTTTCATCTACAAAGGCATTCTCACAGTCACGAGGTAAAAATGTGGGTTGGCTATGTGCTGGCGAACCCAAATTCTGGACGAACAAACTCCAAACTACTCTTCTAGAAATAGGTCAGAACACCCATCCCAAGCTCTGCAGGAGAAAATCAGGCCATTTCATTTTCTCCCAATATCAAGCCTTCATGGACATCAAACAATCTCCAAAAAGTACAAAGTCCACATAGAGAGAAGAAAGAGGTGTAGGGGGTAAGAGTTCCATTTAACCAATAGAGCTTCTAACAAACAACTGGGTCTGGAAAGCCCTGGAAAGAACTCAGGGCTGTTCTTATTCTATCCATCTCCTTACTCAAAGTTCAGACCCTCTTCTTCCCTGCCTCCATCTTCCCAGTCCCTCATGTTTCTTGTATATCTAATCTCATGCTGGTGTCTGCTTCTTGGGGGATCCAGACAGACTCATCCTTCCACACCTCTATGACTGCTACTTCTGCCTTCGTAGTAGACAGTCGCAATTCTGCGTCTTGATTCGTGCCCTTTCTTGGTCAGAAATCATTGCTGGTTCCCTCTGCCTAAGGATGAACTCCAGACTCCTGACCTGTTATGTAAGGCACTACACATACACATATTCATATGCACAGATGTACATACATATACACAAACACATACTCCTCCAACCACTTTCCTACAGTTCTCTAGACGCTGTCTTCTGCTTTAATAATCCAAGTTTCTCAAGGGGTTGCAAATAAACCATACCTGTTCTCACAACTCCGCCTGCTTTCTTTCATGCTGCACTGTATCATCTATGCCTCAGCCTTTTATTAACCTGCACGTGCCTACCTATTGTTGAAGAAACAACCTGAAGCCCACCTTCTCCAGGCAGCCTCCCAGGACCAGCCCAGCCATCAGAATTCTTGCTCTTCTGAAGTCCTATTGCACTTAAAACAGAATTACCTAACTAGGTACTTACTCAAACACTATCCTGATCCTTTCTGGATCACACAGGATCTGCCTTCTCAACTAGATTGAGGCAGGGTTTGGGTGTTGTTCTTCTGTCTCCCTAACAGGTAAGCTCAACATGTCAAAGGTATCTAAAAATAATCATTTTTGAGTCAATGAAGGATAATGGAGTTTTAGTGGTAAATCATAGTCTTCAGACGGGGTTAGTATTCATTTAGTCTATTTCCCTCATTGTACAGATGAGGGAAATGATGCTCAGAGAGATGACGGGACACAAGTTAGTCTGAATAAAGTGTGTCCTTGACCAAGTAGCCAAAGCACTGTTCTTCCATTCTATGAGTAGAGCTGGAGGTTAACTGTCACTGGAAAGCCTTCTAAATTCAGACTCCCTAGTCCCACTCCCAGCAGGTTTGACTTGGTGGGTCCTGGCTAAGGTCCAGATATCTTCCTGTGGTAACTGGAGAACCATACTCAAGAAAGGTCCCATCCCACCATGATTCCTCTCCCAACTCTGTGCTGCGGTGACCATCCCCCCACCCTTCCACCACACTGAGATCCTCATTTAGAGAAGGATCCCTTCCTTTAAATGGAATTGAACCTCACAAAGAAAGCACACAGTAAGAGATGTAGGAGGAAGATGTCTCAGCAAAATCACCCCTGCATTCCCTAGAGGAAAGGTCCCAAACACTGAGAATTAGGGGCTGGAAGCTTTCTTTCCCCAGGAGCCAGCACAGAAGGACAATAATAGAGCTATGAGGAGATGATCGTGTAACTTTTAGCCTTAAGATATTCGGTGCCAAGCAAACAAAACTAAGACTGAAACAACACCTGCCCATCTTTGGCTTCTCTCATCACTCAGAGCCTTCCAAAGGCCTCCAGAGAGGAGGGAATTCGCAGGGAAGAAAACTGAAAGCAGATGCAGTAAACCCACTAAGCCCCAGACTGCTGGGCAAGTACACAGAGCAGAAGGGGCAGACATGAGTGTGCGTGCCACAGGGATCACCAGTGGATGGCATGTAGCACAGAAGGGTAGCTGGGCTAATCCAGGACCATATCAAAACCTGACTTGACTCCTCTCCAGCAGATTCCCCCAGAGGAGGGTGGACAGTCCAAATCAACAAAGGAAAAGCAGTGAGCAAACCTTCACTGAACCCCTACCGTGTAATAAACACTATACTAGGTGCTTCTCAATCCTCACAACAAACTTTTGCAAGTGTAACATAATATCACAGTTTTACAGATGAGAAACCTGAGTCCCAGGAGCTAAGCAAGTTGCCCCCCAAGGCACACCACTAGCAGGAGACAGAGCCAGCATTCCCACCCATGGGACACAGCACACTTGCCCTGCTCGAATGCAATGCTCCTCCATTCTGCAAATGTTGATGTGAGCTGGTTGTGTGTGAGGCAATGAGCAGTCTTACACAGAGGAGAAAAGCACATCCCTGACCGCAAGGAGCTGAGCATTTACTAATGAATTTCACAAATATTTACTGGGCTCCACTTCAGTGAATTAGAAAGGGACCTGGTAAACCTTGAGACTCAGGGAGAGAGCCAGAGCTCAAGGCCCCAGGGTGAAGGTAACTTGTTTTCTTTGTTCTTGGAGAAGGTAATAGGAAACAGAGATATGGAATGAGAAAAGAACTAGACAAACTGCTGGGAAACCCAGGCTTGTCAAATAAGCTCATTTTTGACCTAACTGGCTACAGTCCTGGGGACTTTTAGACAGCAGGAGAAATGAAAATAAATAGGAATAATTCATGAATAAATAGCATCTTTTTTTTTTTTTATAAGCCATATACCTACAGACATACACATTTAGAGAGCGTGGAAAGAAGTCCCTAGACGTGTGTGTGTGTGTGTGTGTGTGTGTGTGTGTGTGTATAAATATAGCTACCAAGGCCTATGTATATAGAATGAGTACTCACACACCACACCCAACCTTAAATTGGCATCTGATCTCTTCTCTGGAATTACACTCCAGTTATTCCTCTCATAGCTTCCATTGCATAGGATCAATGTGACTTTTCCGTATGTCTGAACTTGTCTGTTAGACTGTGGCCTCGCTGAGGTTAGAAATCAGGTCTCATTCAACTTCGCATCCCCAATGCACAGCACATCACCTGACACTTGGCAGGCACTACACACGGTCCACCAAATGAATTATGGATGCAGGACAATAAAAGAAGAGATGAGATGATAAATGTATTTGAGAGGTACAGATAATGTGCTATAAGAGTTGAAAAGAAGCAATTAAGTCCATAGAATGTGACCAGAAAAGTCTCCACAAAGGAAAGATTACATGAGCCAGAACTCCAAGTCTGGTA